CATCTTAAGTGTTAAGTTCAATGAGTTTTACCAATTATATATGTTTTATAGTCAATACCCAAAGCAAGGTCTGGAATATGTCCATCATTTCAGAGCTCCTTCGTGTCCCTTTCCGGTCTATTCTGTCCTTTCCCCAGAAGTAGCCACTTTCTGACTTTGATCATTAAAGATTTTCCCTGTTCTTGTACTTCTATAAATGGAATCTTACAGTATTGTGTGTGTGTGTGTGTGTGTGTGTGTGTGTGTGTGTGTGTGTGTTTGGCTTCCTTCACTAAAGATAAATGTTTCTGACGTTCATCTATATTGTTCTGTGTATCAGTAATTCATTCTGTTTTTCTGCCAAGTAGTATTCCATTGTGTGAATGTATCATAATTTGCCCATTCTCATCAAGATGGATATTCGGGTTGTTCCCAGTTTTGAGCTATTACGAATAGGGCTGTTATGAACTTTTTTGCACAACCTTTTTTGGGGCATATGTTTTAATGTCTCTTGGGTAAAAACTGCAGATTCACATATCAATGTATGAGAATTCCAGTTGTTCTACGTTCTCAGAACATGATTGTCAGTCTTTTTTATTTTAGCCATTCTTGTGGGCCTAAGTAGTAGCGCATGGTTTTAATTTGCATATCTTGAATGATTAATGATGTTGAATACCTTTCTATGTTTATTGATCAGTTGTTTATCTCCAACTGTGAAGTATCTGTTCAAATCACTTTTTCTTTTCTTTTCTTTTCCTTTTTTTTTTGAGATGGAGTCTCACTCTATCGCCCAGGCTGGAGTGTAATGGCATGATCTCGCCTTACTGTAACCTCCACCTTCACGGTTCAAGCGATTCTCGTGCTTCGGCCTCCCAAGTAGCTGGGACTACAAGCATGCACCACCACACCCAGCAAACTTTTGTATTTTAGTAGAGATGGAGTTTTTAGTAGAGATGGGGGCCTCTTGAAGGGAGAGGGTTTATGTGCTGGGATTATAGGCGTGACCCACCGCACCCAGCTGAAGTATCTGTTCAAATCTTTTGCCCATTTTTAGTTTGCCATTATATTATTTATTTGTAATAGGTCTTTTTACATTTTAGATAGGAGTCTTTTGTCAGATAAACTATTGAGAAACATTTTCTCCTAAACCTGCCTGTCTTTTCATTTTCACAATGGCATCTTTTGGTGAACAGAGATTTTTAATTTTGCTAAAGTCCAATTTCTCAATGTTTAAAAGTTTATGGTCAATTATTTTTTGTTTCTTGTCTAAGAAATCTTTGCTTTGTTCAAACTTGTAAAGATAGTCTCTTATGTTTCTTTTAGAAGCTTTACAATTCTGGATTTTTTTTTTTTGAGACGGAGTTTCACTCTTGTTACCCAGGCTGGAGTGCAATGGCACGATCTCGGCTCACCGCAACCTCCGCCTCCTGGGTTCAGGCAATTCTCCTGCCTCAGCCTCCTGAGTAGCTGGAATTACAGGCACGTGCCACCATGCCCAGCTAATTTTTTGTATTTTTAGCAGAGACGGGGTTTCACCATGTTGACCAGGATGGTCTCGATCTCTCGACCTCGTGATCCACCCGCCTCGGCCTCCCAAAGTGCTGGGATTACAGGCTTGAGCCACCGCGCCCGACCCGACAATTCTGGATTTTTTGTATTGGTCTATGATCCAGACATAAGTACTCTACGTACGGACTGAGACATAGGTTAGAGTTCATTTTTCCCCCATGTTTATCCAGTAGTTCCAGTTTCATCCAGTTGTTCCAGCTGAATGAAATAGCTTTTTGAGGTACAGACAGTTTTTGGTTACATGGATGAGCTCTTTGAATGATTTCTGAGATTTTAGCAGCACCGACTATTAAAAAAGAAATTCTTTTTTTATTTTTATTTTTATTTTTTTTCAGGGAAGGTGGCTCATGCCTATAATCCCAGAACTTTGAGAAGCTAAGGTGAGAGGAACACTTGAGACCAGAGTTTGAGACCATCCTGGGCCACACATTGAGACTTCATCTCAACAAAAAATAAAATTAGTTGGGCATGGCGGCATGTGCCTGTAGTCCTAGCTATCTCCGAACATTGAGGCAGGAGGATCGCTTGAGCCCAGGAGTTCAAGGATGCAGTCAACTATGATGGCACCACTGTACTCCAGCCTGGGCTGTAACATAAGACCCTCTCTCTAAGTAGTAAATAAATAAATACTTTTCTCTTTTTCCCATTGAATTGATGTGATTTATGAACCTATTTTTGAACTCTCTTCTGTCCCGTTGGTCTATTTGTCTATCTTTATACTAGAGTACAACCCTTTCTGAGATTTAGGGTTAAGTCTTTAAATCAAGTACTGTTAAGTCCTCCAACTTTGTTCTTTTTAAAAATCATTTTTGCTATTCTAAGTCCTTAACAATTCCATGCATATTTTAGAATCAGCTCATCAATTTCTATAAAAATGTCTTCTAGGACCCAGTATAGTGGCTCATGCCTGTAATCCCAGCACTTTGGAAGGCCGAGGCAGGTGGATTACCTGAGGTTGAGAGTTCAAGATCAGCCTGACCAACATAGAGAAACCCTGTCTCTACTAAAAATACAAAATTAGCCAGGCATGGTGGCGCATGCCTGTCATCCCAGCTACTTAGGAGGCTGAGGCGGGAGAATCACTTGAACCCAGAAGGCAGATGTGCAGTGAGCCAAAATTGTGCTATTGCACTCCAGCCTGGGCAACAAGAGCAAAACTCTGTCTTAAAAAATAAACGCCTTCTAGAATTTTATTGGGTCTACATTAAATTTATATATCCATTTGAGGATAGAAACCTCAATATTAAGTCCTCTTCATGAACCATATATTTAGATGTCCTTTAATTTATCTCAATAATGTTTTATAGTGAAGAAGTCTTACATTCTTTTTGCTAAATTGTTCCTAAGTAATTTTTCCATGGTACTCCAAATGAAACTGAATAAATTAATTTTTAAATAACATTTAGTTATTTTTAGAGTTTTCTAGTGACTTTAATTTTACAAAAGCAGTAAATTATATTAGAAAGTTAAAGAATATAGATAAGTAAAAATAATAAAACCGTATTTCTACCACAAAGAATACTATTATTAATATCTACATTTCACCTATACACACAGATATCCGTGTGTGTGTGTGTGTGTGTGTGTGTGTATTTAAGATAGTATTTCACCATGATGGCCAGGCTGGTCTTGAACTCCTGACCTCAGGTGATTCACCCACCTCGGCCTCCCAAAGTGCTGGGATTACAGGCATGAGTCACCGCACCCAGCCCCATATGTATCTTTTTAACCGCATGAGATCATACTGTACGGGCTGTTTTATAATCTGCTTTAAAAGAATAGTGTCTACCTTTTCATGTCAATAACATTTCTATCTAAAATATAGTCCATATGCAAGTTTTCCCAACTATCCCAAAAGGTGCTTTACATTTATTTGTCCAAATCAGACTCCTATCCAAAAACATAAACTGTATCTGTATATCAACAAGTCTTTTTTAATTTAACACAATCAGATATGGTGATTTCTATTATGAATGTTAGACCTTATTTAATAAAGCATATTGCTACTCTAGCCAGGGTGACAGAGCGAGACCCCACCTCTAGAATGAATGAATGAATGAATGAATAAATGAACGAATAAACCGTATTGTAAATGTCCATGTAAAGGCAGTATTTCTTTAAATATCTCCATTCTTTTTCTTATGGATAAACATACATTTGAGAGAGAAGCCACTGAAATCTTTAAATTCCCTAACTTAAAGATGTCAATGAAGTTATCCAAATTTTCAAATGAGTCACTGAGAATGAATATATTAAAGGATAAAAGTGGTTAAATGCCATGTATCAGGGATAGATTTCAAGTGGTTATGTTTTATTTTTTTTTGAGACAAGATCTTACTCTGTCACCCCGGTTGGAGTTCAGTGGTGCAATCTCGGCTCACTGCAACCTCTGCCTCTTGGGTTCAAGCAATTTTCCTGCCTCAGCCTCCTGAGTAGCTGGGTTTACAGGCGTGCACCATGACCCCTGGCTAATCTTTGTATTTTTAGTGGAGACAGGGTTTTGCCATGTTGGCCAGGCTGGTCTCAAACTCCTGACCTCAAGTGATCCACCTGCCTTGGCTTCCAAAATGCTGGGATTACAGATGTGAGCCACCATTCCTGGTCAGTTATATATTTTAACATAGAAAACATTAAGCAAACTTTTAAAAGTTCGTTTCTTAATAAGGTAATAAAATAATTAAAAAATAAACCCCAGCTATGCTAGCTATTAAGATATTAAGATATGCTAGCTCGCCGGGCGCGGTGGCTCACGCCTGTAATCCCAGCACTTTGGGAGGCCGAGGCGGGTGGATCATAAGGTCAGGAGATCGAGACCATCCTGGTCAACATAGTGAAACCCCGTCTCTACTAAAAATACAAAAAATTAGCTGGGCATGGTGGCGCATGCCTGTAATCCCAGCTACTCAGGAGGCTGAGGCAGGAGAATTGCCTGAACCCAGGAGGCGGAGGTTGCGGTGAGCCGAGATCGCACCATTGCACTCTAGCCTGGGTAACAAGAGTGAAACTCCATCTCAAAAAAAAAAAAAAAAGATATGCTAGTTATTAAGATATTAAGTGGTAACTTTAATCACAATCAACAGGCTCAGATGCTTATATATAACTGTGTGACTGACACACTGAACAATTATGGAAGGTGTTTTCTGTGGTTGAATCAATCAGAATAGTAATAATGGTAGGATTATTGAAAAGAAATTAACCTGTACTGTAATCTGGGGTCAGAGTTTTTTTTTTTCTTTTTTTTTTTTAAGGCTATAAGCTCTAATTCATGACATGTTAATTTTAATAACCAGGCAGGGTGAATAGACTTGAAAATTATGTCAGCTCACTTTAAACAACATTGGTTGCTAACATAAATTGGCTCTTGGTAGGTAAAAATAATCTGGTCAACAAATGGCTGTCAAGACAATCTAGGCTTTGCAACACTTAGTAGTCCTTTATGAGCCATGACTTACCTGTATGGCCTGGCACTGGTATACGAATCGAACTCCTGATACATGAGCTTGAGGGTTGGACTGGAGGCCTACATATGCCCATAATACCTGGATCTCCAGGGAAACTGGTATGAGACAGCAGGAAGTACAGTTCATAGCCTGCAAAAGGGTAAAGATGCATCTGTTTAAATTGCCTGATGGTTGCCTATAGTCAATCACCATGCATTAAGCCATTGTTTCTTAAGCATTATTCAGTAATAAGGAAGGCGACGTAGCTTAGTGGAGAACACAAAAGTTCACAGTAAGACTATATTATCATTCCTGATCTTTTTCTTTTTTTTTTTTTTGAGATGGAGTCCTGTTCTGTTGTCCAGGCTAGAATGCAGTGGTGTGATTTCGGTTCACTGCAACTTATGCCTCCTAGATTCAAGTGATTCACCTACCTCAGCCTCCCCAGTAGCAGGAATTACAGATGCCCACCACTATGCCTGGCTAATTTTTGCATTTTTAGTAGAGATGGGGATTCACCATGTTGGCCAGGCTGGTCTCAAACTCCTGACCTCAGTGATCTGCTTGCCTGGGCCTTCCAAGGTGCTGGGATTACAGGTGTTAGCCAGGGCACCTGGCCTCATTGATTAATTTAACTCCAGCCAGTACCTACTACGCACCTCACACATAGGAGATACTATTGAGTACTCAGATACTACTGAGTATCTCCTATGTGTGAGGTGTGTAGTAGGCACTGGCTTGAGCAGATCATGTGATTAAAGGATCTGAATATAGAAGCAGTGAAAAGTCAAAGAAGATGACACCTAAGAGTTAGATTATGAAGTGCATCCAAGTAGTCTGGAAGCCAGCAAAGAACCTGAAAGTTTCTAGAATAGAAACATAGTACACCTAATGCAGTACTCTAGGAGGATTAATTGCAAGATGCAGAAAGACGTATCATTCTTTTTGGTTTTGATTTTTAACCAGATAATGCATTTTCATGTAAATAAATGTAAAAATGAAAATTTTTATAACAACAGAAAGATTACAATTTTAACCTCGTGAAAATCTATGCTGACCAAATATTCAAGAATGTTAAGAGTATGTGAAATATATGATGAGATTTCTGAACAACAGAAATCTCTAGATTATCTGCCTTCAAATTTTTTTCTAAGTAAGGAAAATACGTTAGGTATTTAAAACATAACCAGTAATAATGACTTTAGGCTGGGCACAGTGGCTGATGCCTGTAATCCCAGCACTTTGGGAGGCCAAGGCTGGAAGATCACTTGAGCCCAGCAGTTTGAGACCAGTCTGGACAACTTAGTGAGACCTTGTCTCTACAAAAAAAACAAAAAATTATCTGGGCATGGTGGCATGTGCCTGGGGTCCCAGCTACTTGAGGGGCTGAGGTAGGAAGATCACTTGAGCCCAGAAGGTCGAGAAGGCAGTGAACCATGATCGTGCCATTGTACTCCAGCTTAGGTAACAGAGCAAGATTCTGTCTTTAAAAAATAAAAGGCTTCAAGTGGGCATTCTTTCTTTCTTTTTTTTTTGTTTTTTGAGACAGAGTCTCCCTCTGTTGCCAGGCTGGAGTGCAATGGCATGATCTCAGCTCACTGCAACCTCTGCCTCCCGTGTTCAAGAGATTCTCTTGCCTCAGCCTCCCAAGTAGCTGGGATTATAAGCGCCCAACATCATGCCCAGCTAATTTTTTGTATTTTTAGTAGAGATGGTCTTGATCTACTGACCTCATGATCCACCCCCCTCGGCCTCCCAAAGTGCTGAGATTACAGACGTAAGCTAACATAACTGGCCGGCATGATTTCTTATACTCTTCCTTCTATGACAAACGCATTATCTGTGGAGACAAGACTGGCTTTAACCTTACTATTCATGATTTACAAAGGGGTAAAAATGAGTCTTCATCAGAAACTGTATTTCTCTCCTTACTGAAATGCTGCAGTGCCTGTTGAGGATCTTGGTCCACCCTCCTTTCTGGGCTGGGTCAGCATTACCAAAGATGGCAACATGCTCTGGTCTGGCCCTTCCATGAAGAGTCTGATAAATCTCCTGCTGCAAATGGCTGCAGTCTGCCTTCTTCAACCTGTAATTCAACACCATGGAGGCTGGAGTCTGATGCTAGCATAGTAATATACCCATATTAGTATTATATATTAAACCAAACATTGGAAATAATATTATAGAATAGACCAGAGGGTATAATCCTTAGTAGGTATTAACGACTGCCAGAAAACTCCTAGCAGTATTAACACTATTTAGACTAAAAGACTATTCCTAACTAGTATCTTCTGAACTGTCATTCATAATAAAAAAGTTACCAGATCAACATATTCCCTACATATTCCTGATGAAATTGCAAGAAATGATATGGAAACAAAGAACTACCTGAGCTTGCATCCAGATATTGCATTCACTCCAAATTGTACTTCATGTTTGTTAACAGAGCAACTTCCATTACCCTGGCTCTGTAGGAGGGTCATCTGAGGTGGGAAAGTGAGGATCAAGGACATAACAGAAAAAAGAAAAAAAAAAAAAAAAAAAAGGAGGCAGCATTGCAAAATTTATGCTCTCATTCTCCCTTAACACTATTTATACTGTATTACTATCATAATGTTCAAGTCACAAATTTGTGGTTTTTTTCCTCAAAAAACCAGAGAGAGACAACTACGATTCCAAAAATGTTTAGCCATATGTTAGTATACAAGTACGTCATTAAAGCAAACAAAAAATTCTTGACCTTTGGCTAGTCTAACATAAGTCTGAAAGCCTTTGCAGCTTTTCTCATTAGGCTGCAACAGACTACCCAGCTCTAAAAAGGATACTGAGTAACTTATATCACCAGTCAGAGCCAAGAGTGGCTTCCCAACAATATAGCCAGGATTCCCACTTCTAGGACCAGTGAGAGAAGCAGCTGTGCTCTGTTGAAAAGACTGCAGAAAGAGTGAGAAGTCAATTATGGAGGTAAGCATACTTTCCCACCTCCCACTGCTTGGCTTCACTGTACCCTTCCTTAAGGCAAGGCAATGCAATAAGTGAGCTACACTGGACAATGTGGCTTCTTTCCACAGTGTAGCATTTTGCTTCCTTCACTTTTTACGTTCACTAAAATAAATCCTTCATGATCTGAATATTGAAATTCACAATATGCTACTTTTACCAAGGATTAAAACCAAGAATCTACCAAGGATCCCTTAACCCTGTTTCTCAAAAATTACTAGCAATTTAGCAATAATAACACAGCCTGGATAAAATCTGAAGAATTTAACTGTAATTAAAAATATATATATTTTAATTAACTATAGATGTTCCAGAGATGAGCTCTGAGAGACACCACAGTTGGCTGATCACCTGAGGGTACAGCTGGGAAACACTATGCTGGGTTCAAAAAGAGGAAAGAAGTAGCAGAAGCCAAATGGTGGTGATTAAGACTGGACACTCAGGTTAAGTGGGAAATGAGTAAAACGCTGACTGCCCAGAAATATGAGCAAAGCTAGTCAAAGAAATTTTGTAGGTGTTGGCTGAATTTATGATTCAAAATGACTATTAAAAAAAAGGTTTAGATTTGAGATTGATGTCCCACTTTGTTGGGGCCCAGATAGAGAATTGGAGAAAATGTTAATGAGTAAACATTTGTAGAATACCGACAACTTGCAGTTAAATTGTGCAGTATTAAATGTTGAGGCCTCAACTGACAGACTGAATGAGGTTTTCATATTCTTACTCTATTTCACATGTATTACAAAAGCAAAGGAACTGTTTCTAACCCGGTATTTCTTCCTCTCTAAATCCCCAATAAGAGAAGGGCCCTAACCCTGAAGTGAATGATGAAATGCTGCTGTAAGGAAGTGCCTGGCTCAACAGTCAGGTTGGTTTGTCCAAAACTGACAGAGACCTTCTGGATTCCTAAAGTCCCATTGGTCTCTATCTCATATGTGACCTGAAATGCAAAAAAGAATCAATTAATAGAAAATAGTTATTGGGCTAAATATGTTTAGGACAGAAGATTTTCTGTCTTCAAGGTTTTTTTTTTTGTTTTTTGTTTTTTTGAGACGGAGTTTCACTCTTGGTAAGTTACCCAGGCTGGAGTGCAATGGTGCAATCTCGGCTCACCGCAACCTCCGCCTCCTGGGTTCAGGCAATTCTCTTGCCTCAGCCTCCCGAGTAGCTGGGATTATAGGCATGCGCTACCATGCCCAGCTAATTTTTTGTATTTTTAGTAGGGACGGGGTTTCATCATGTTGACCAGGATGGTCTCGATCTCTTGACCTCGTGATCCACCTGCCTTGGCTTCCCAAAGTGCTGGGATTACAGGCGTGAGCCACCGCGCCCGGCTCAAGGGTTTTATTGTAACTAAATGAGGTAGACTGAAACAGTACTGTTAAAAATGTCAAACACAAATACTATGAAAGATAAACATAGTTTCATATTGTATTTGTATATGGAAAAGAAACTGGATAGAACTCTTTAAAATGGTTCATGTGGGCCAGGCATGGTGGAAAATGCCTGTAATCCCAGCTACTCAGGAGGCTGAGGCAGGAGAATTGCTTGAACCCGGGAGGTGGAGGTTGCAGTGAGCCGAGATTGTGCCACACTGCACTCACTCCAGCATGGGTGACAGAGCAAGACTCTATCTTCAAAAAAAAGAAAAAGAAAAAGCATTTATGGGTAGGTGAGTTTATGGTAGGAATTGAAAGGGAAGAAAAATAAGTTGGTTACAGGTAGAGGAGGGCAAGCAGAAACAGCCAGAGGTGAGCATGGAACAGAAATACGGTTTAGTTGGCTCTGACAATGTATGATAATTAATAAATATAGTTGCTGGGGATACAATTTGCAGGCAATTGAAAGTAACCTTAGATTTCTGAACACAGTCCTTAAGAAGATGCCTTAAGATAATTCTTAATCTTTTAGGTTGGATTGTTTTATGTAAGAGAGAGAACGGAGGAATAGAAATTGATTAATTTACTTCAGATTTTCAGAAGATACTGACTGGGTCAAGAAAAGAAAATGTGGTCAGTCAGTAAGAATCAGTAACAGACTGCAGATGGGCAAAGGAAGAGGAGTCAGAAATAATTTTAATGTCCTGGACCTGAAATACTGGAGGATAGTGGTGATGGAAATAACTGAAAAGTAGTAGGGAGGATAATGGGCTCAATTACTGACAAGTTAAATTTCAAACTTGTTGGGAATTGCTGAAATTCACAATATGCTACTTTTACCAAGGATTACAACCAAGAGTCTTACATTGCAACAAGTTTGCATTCCCAAATTGTTAGAGAATGCAAACAAAATTCACATGGGGTCAGTGTGGTACTTAATGGAAGATGAGGCACCTCTGGCAGAGTTGATCAACATACATCAGTCCAGAATCTAAGGTCAGCATCCTTACCTGGGAAACTACATTCTGGCAAGTGTTTCCAGCCAACAAAGGAGCATTAGCCTGTGAAATAAGTATTACAGGCACCTGGAACTAGCAATGAAAAGAAGCAAATTAACTAAAACTGAAGGCAGTATTTTGTCTTTTATCTATTAATAGATAACATACTAAGATGAGTATTTTTCCTTCCCCCTTGACCACCCCATTTCTCTCTTCTTCCCCACCAGCCAACAACTTAAATTCAAAAGTCTTTCTAAAGCAGCACTTCTTAAAACTTATTTCTAAGAACACTAGTTCTGTTAAATATAAAATAAGGGTTTCACAGTCAAGTAAGTGTTAGAAATACTACATTCAGTGCTCCCCTTAAGAGATTAATAAGGCCCTCTATCAAATTAAAGACTCCAGGCAGGATGAGATGGCTCACACTTATCATCTCAATACTTTGGGAAGCCAGGTCAGGAGAATTGCTTGAAGCCAGGAGTTCAACACCAGCGTGGACAACATAGCGAGACCCTCCATCTCTACAAAATATTTTAAAAATTAGCTGGGTGTGGTGGCACATGCCTGTAGTCCCAGCTACTTGGGAGGCTGAGGTGGAAGGATTGCTTGAGCACGGGAGGTTGAGGCTGCAGTGAACATGACCGTGCCACTGCACTCCATCCTGGGTGACTGAGCAAGACCCTGTCTCTAAAAAAAAAATTAAGAAGCCCACTCTAAATATAGTTTATTTAACCCAATGTTTACAAACTTATCTAACACCTTATGGATCCTGGTTTCACACGAGGCTATTAATTGTATTGGATGTACTCACAAAAGCACTGTTTTAGATTCCTACTTAACTGTTTGCTACATCACACTTACATTTCTCTTTCAACAGTACAACCTAGACTAAAACTGCCTCAGATACAGAGGAGCCAAATATATTTTTTCCTTTTTCCTGATACAACAGGGTCATACCTCCATATTCTGTGGATCAGTTATGCCTCTCGGAACCTAGGAGAAAGCAGGAACATTAGGGTGCATATACCTTATCAAAAATCACCAGGAGCTTGTGGTTTCATATTACTAACAATAGGCTTTGCTTTGGGGGGAAAAAATCAATATATTAGAATAATTTACTTCCTCTATTCCACCTGATTCATCTTTACACTAAAATGCCAGGAAGTGGAGCTAGACAAGAGGGTGATAGACTGTGATGCCTGCCTACTCTGACAGACTCTACTGAACAGCAAAAGCAGGACATTTGGTGAAATAGATGTCTTCCCCCTTCCATTCTCGCAAGCCAATCTCATTGCTGAAAAGTGAGATGAACTCTTATCCTGGATATATATCCCTAATTATATCGTTTGTCTTCAGATATGGTTTCCAGGCCCTCTTTTACGTGGCTCCTGGAGATTCTAATTTCCAGTTCAATGCTCTTTCCGCAACCCACAACAGTGAGAAGCACGTTCACTTCAGCTTCATGGCGGTGACAGTGTAGGGAGAGAAAGGACACCTACCTTTAAGACTGTGAAGTTATAGTAAGAGGCAGCATTGAGGGCTGAATCCAACGTACAACTACTAGCCAGGTTCTTGAAAAAACGAGTGCAGGTGGTACTTTTACTCTCTAGGAAACCTGAAACACAAATAAGAGAGCGGTAAATAAGAAAGCCTGTTTTAAACTGAATGAAAAGGTTGGAAAAGGTTGGTACGTTTGCTCTGGACTCACCTGCAGGATTGCTTTCAGCACAGAGTCCCCCAGCTCCAACTCCTGCAGGTTGTCTCAGCAAGCTTATTACAGACCACTTGGGGAAGTAAGTCAGAATGGGGTCCCCCGCCTGAATAAAATATAAAAGCAGCTTTGTTCACAGCGAGACTGGACTAGACGACAACAGAAAAGAAAGAGTAGAAACAAAGTTAACTCAAGGGCATGATTATATGGACAGCAGTGCCCTCCAAAGAGCTGACAACGGTTTAGCCAGCTGCAGGGTAGTACTGCAAAGATACCTTGTCAGTTGTCTGCTTTAGAGTAAAAACAAACCAAACAATCCCATCCCCTTCCCCAGGCTCACCCTGTAAAAGGATGCTGGTGACTGAGTTTGGAATGCTGAAATGAATGATTCACCTCCAAACTCTGCAGCCAGGCCCTGGAAGTTGGTTGCATTGACCTTTTGGAGCTTCTGGAAATAGTTTAATTTTGCTAAAATGTTTTTTAAAAAGAAAAGAAGTTTAGATAAAAGAAAAACATGCCAAGTAGCTAATTTTTTAAAATAATTATATTTTACTGAAGCATAATATACAAGGCGCAAATCTTAAGTGAAAACTCAAAGAATTTTTACAAATTTATATACTGTATTACCACTACCCAGATCAAGTTACAGAACATTTCCCCAGAAGGCTCCCAATCAATACTCCATCTCCAGAAAGATCAATTCTGACTTCTAATCACTTCTTAATTTATTCACAATATACTGACTAAATTATTGTTTTAATATTAAAGAATATGGTTAATGAATGCATCAGTTTCAAGTCACTGATGGCCAAGAATGTGTATGATCAGCAATTTGTGATGAAAATAGGAAGCTCAATAATGCTCATATCTGCCCCATACCAGATGAGTCTCTAATACAACAGAATTGCACTATTTCCATAGGAACATGGTGAAGCTAGAGACAATATTTGATCTGTCCTTCCCAAATCTTCCTGTGTCCTCTAAACTTCAACTGACCAGTCCTAATGATGTTTCCATCTCTCAAGTTTTGAGATTTGTTGCATTTTATTCCTTAAGGCTTATAATTCCTCCATTCGAGATTTTAGATATTTCAAAATGTTATTTTCTGGAACAATTCTATAATTTCTATGATATCAATGTATAAATCTACCCAAGCTCCTGCAGTCATCTCTTTATGGCACTTCAGAACCAGTAGGGAGATGTAGGAAAGGGCTGTGGTGCTATCTCCTGCCCAGAGGATGGCAGGTGACTGACAACATACTGTCTGCTTTACTACTCCGTCTGCTAAATTGAAAAATAACATAGCGAAACATGCCCCTTGCCAGTTTCATTCTTCATATAATTAATGGCCATTTGGACAGAGTAAAAGAGATTACAATATCTGCATCATTGAAAGCAAATGAGGATTCCACGTTAAATGAACCTGTCCTTTATCCTCTGTGGTAACATCTTAATTATGTGACTTTTCAGCTTTCTGATACAGCATAAATGCAACTCTCAATGCTAGGACTTTTCAGACTACTCACTCTTTACACATCTCCTAGATCCTTTCTACTCAAAGTGGGGTGCACAGATTAGTAGCTCCAGCATCACCTGGGAGCTTCTCAGAAATGTAGACTCTCAGGCCACTACCCAGACCTGAGTCAAAATCTCCATGTTAACAAGATCTCCAGGTAGTGTGTATTCATATTAGAATCTGAAAAGCACTGCTCCAAAATAGGTGATGCCTATGCTGCTCATCTATGGACCACTTTCCACCTCCGATCTGAAATCTTCAAACTGTAAAGCTTCCAATAGCATTTTTTTTTCTTTTTTGAGATGGAGTCTTGCTCTGCCGCCCAGACTGGAGTGCAGTGGCGTGATCTCAGCTCACTGTAACCTCCTTCCCACGGGTTCAAGCGATATTCCTGCCTCAGCCTCCTGAGTAGCTGCAATTACAGGCACAGGCCACCAGCCCTGGCTAATTTTTGTATTTTTAGTAGAGATGGGGTTTCACCATGTTGGTTAGGCTGGTCTTGAACTCCTAACCTCACGATCCACCTGTCTCGGCCTCCCAAAGTGCTGGGATACAGTCCAAGTGATATTTTAACATTTCCTTCAGAACTCATACCCTGAAAACTACACGGAGGAGATATTTACCTTGCACTAAATGCAGTTATTTGTATCTCTATAAATGAAGTAAAAGTTAAAGTTAAGCTAAGAAAGAAGGTGAAGGCCGGGCGCGGTGGCTCAAGCCTGTAATCCCAGCACTTTGGGAGGCCAAGGCGGGTGGATCACGAGGTCGAGAGATTGAGACCATCCTGGTCAACATGGTGAAACCCCGTCTCTACTAAAAATACAAAAAATTAGCTGGGCATGGTGGCTCGTGCCTGTAATCCCAGCTACTCAGGAGGTTGAGGCAGGGGAATTGCCTGAACCCAGGAGGCGGAGGTTGCGGTGAGCCGAGATCATGCCATTGCACTCCAGCCTGGGTAACAAGAGTGAAACTCTGTCTCAAAAAAAAAAAAAAAAAAAAAGAAGAAAGAAATGTTATAGCTATCACCAGCAAATTTCTAAGACCACTAACCATCCCCAATCATAATAAACTCTAATTTTTATTGTACTCTACAGTTGTAAAGCACTTTCATATACAAAGCCAATGATACAATTTCTTACTTTGCAGTTGAAGAAACAGGCGTGGAAATGCTAAGGCATTTGCCCAAGTCTGTACAGCTGGTAAGGAAACAGCAGGACTGAGATCCTAATCTAATGCTCCTCCTACACTACTGCCTCATGAAATGAAAATAAAGTTGGCATAGACTCATTTGTCAAAGATATTCATTCAAACATTATTTGGTGCTTTCTATGTATTAGGCACCGGAGATTCAGTTAGTACCCTCATGGAGATTGCAGCAAGTGAGGGATATTGTCTATCTGTGATTAAACTGAATTAAGAGGGATGATTAAAAGGATTGAAATTAAAGTTCTCTATGAGTTTTCCGATCCACAGCCAAAAGAATATAAAATACTGCACATGTATTTAATAACAAAGAGAAAAGCACCAGAAATCGGGGTAGAGAGTCAAAGGACAAAAAAAAAAAAAGTTTATTTCTTCAGTGCTGCCTGGAAAAAAAAAAAGAGAGGAAAAAAAAAGTTTAAAAAAGAAAGAAATGGAAAAAAGGTCGGAATAAAAGACAACTCTCAATAAATGTTACACCAAATTTGTCCAACCCGTGACCCACCGGCCACATGCAGCCCAGGACGGCTGTGAATGCAGTCCAACAACACAAATTTGTAAACTTTCTTAAAACATTATGAGATTGTTTTGCCTTTTTTTTTTTTTTTTTTTAAGCTCATCAGCTCTCATTAGTGTATTTTATGTGTGGCCCAAGACAATCCTTCTGCCAACACGGCCCAGGGAAGACAAAAGATAACACTCCTGTGTTAGAAAATGCAAACAGCCAACGTGTTTCTACTCACAGTTGTTCACATGTACACAAAACTGCCTGATTCCATCAGAATCCATGAAAACTCTGGAAGGAAATGGGGAATTACTCCTGAAGATAAGAGAGCTGTCTACACAAACCCAGCTTGAAGACCTGTGAGGAAAGAGGAGGGAGAAGATATATTTAGAAGGGGCGGGGCAGATCCAAAGAAGAATGCCCTAGCAATATTGGTCAGATTCCAAAGAGAGGACTCCTTGGCACCCATAGGACGACACGAAGGTCTTATTCTACTGGCCAGCCCTGCTATAGAGAATCAGAAAAAGCAGTTCCTAGGAAAAACCAAGGGAATGTCCTAGGAGTAGAAGTAGGGGCGAGAGGCACAAAGACTAACTCTTCTTACATCTAAATGTTACCCACTATAGGCCCCAATCCCCTTTAGGATTCAGTCTGAGCAACGAAGCTCACCTTACGCTGCCAGGAAGGCAGAAGGAGAAAACTGTCCTCGGATGGAGAAGATAGCAGTCCCTGTCGCAGCAGCAATTTATATCACAAGTGCCAGGAGTCAAGTCACAGACACAGATCGGTAAGACTATGAAAGTACAACACAGAGTGAGTGGGATGAGGATCCCCAAACTCTCCCAGGTGCTCACCCCACTTCTTCCAACAGCCCCACTCCTGGCTTTGTGGCAGTTCACTTTGCTCACACAATTTTCGATCTCAGAATTCAGTTTCCACCCCCACAACGTTTCCCCTTACCTGGGAAGAGGTCCACAGTCCTATTCCCAGGCGCCGAGGGGGTCACGAGAGTAGGGACCACTGTAGAGATCCCAGGCACGGCCGGGGGAGTTGCAGTCGCCTCTGAGGACTGGAGGGTTCCGCCATGCGTCCCTGGCTCCAGCGCCGAAGACGTGGGCACTACCCGTGATGGGGAGGAGGACGGCTGAGGCCGGATGCCCTTGGGGAACATCAGGAAGAACACTTGCAGGAGCGCGAGCTGTGGGGTGCGCATGGGGCAGTCAGAACCCCCTGGGTCCAACATGAGACTCCGCGGTCTCCAGACGCGTTGCCAGAGCGTGGGTGGGAGGGGTCGCATAGCGTCTGACGCCAACCGCGTGCCTCTTCTCATTGGCTCTTGCGAAGGCTAAGAGCTCTTCAGCCAATGGAAAGCGAGGTTATTACAGTTCTTTCAGGATCCTTCTGTCAGCTCCCTCTTCCTTAATACGGACGGAGCCGTGTCTCCGTTGCCTGGCAACCGCCAGTGGCGAAGGAGCTCCTTGCGCCTTCTCTCCGCTGGGTGGCGTTTGGAGTTCGGCGGACCGACAAGTTCCGCGCAGACTTCGCGGTCCAGAGGACAGAGCCCGGCCTCGGTGCAGGGAAACCCCAGAGGCCGGAACTAGAATTGCACATTTTTTGTCACCCCGGATTCCAACAGTGAGAAACCCTTTCTGTGGAAGGATAAAGTTCTCAGGTGGGGGAAACACACGTAAGGTCACATACCTTAAAAACAGTCTCCTCTGAATATGGATTTTTTTGGAAAACACATTAGAAATAATGCCCATTCAGCTCCTAACATTTTAACATTGAGAAAATTTTAAAACCCTCAATAAATGCATCAAATCATTAAAGGTGGACTGCATGTTTGTTAGGAAAAAACAGTGGGAGAAAAATAAGAAAAAAGGGTAGGAAAAATGTGAGAAAATAGGGGAAGAACGATTAAAAAAAAAAAGGAACATTGTCTAGGAGGTGAGAAAATAGCCAAGGGATAGAGAAGAAAACCTTTTTTTTTTTTTTTTTTTTTTTTTTTTTTTTTTTTGCCGTGTTAATGGCCATTATTAAAAGCCTCTCTAGGAGATTCATGTTCTCTCCAGGAATGGCGTGCCTCTTCTGATTCCTAACAGCAGCGTGGGCCATGGGACCTTCCTGCAATGTTGGAAATGTGCCATAGCTGCACTGTACAGCTTGGGAGTTATGTGCCTTATGTGGCAATTGTGCCCTTGAAATGTGGCTAGTGTGACTGAGGAGCTGAATTATTATTATTATTATTATTTGAGACAGAGTTTTGCTCTGTCACCCAGGCTGGAGTGCAGTAGTGTGATCTTAGCTCACTGCAACCTCTGTCTCCAGGGTTTGAGTGATTCACCTGCTTCAGCCTCCATAGTAGCTGGGATTACAGGTGCACACCACCAGCCCGGCTAATTTTTTTTTTTTTTTTTTTTTTTTTAGTAGAGACGTAGGTTTCACCATGTTGTCCAGGCTGGTCTGGAACTCCTAACCTCAAGTGATCTGCCTACCTTGGCCTCCCCAAAGTGCTCAGATTACAGGTGTGAGCTGATGTGCCCGGTCTGAATTTTTAATTTTTAAATTGTAATGAATTCAAAGTTAACCATGGGTGTGAGTAGCTACCATATTGTACAGTGGGACTGTAGATGATCAAAATCTTGCTCCTCCTAGACCCAGTGTTTTTCTGTGTCCTCAGTTCTGACATCTGGATTATTTCAGATATTTAGTTTTAGTATATAAATTAACATCTGTTAAGAGTTATCTAAAATCTAGTACACTTACCTAAAATCTAGTCAATATCTCCCTTTACAAGTGAATCGCTTAACTCAGGTAAGTTTTAGGACACTTCACTTGACTTGCATTCTCTTACAAGATCTTTATTTTCTAATGTTTCAAAGTCACTAGCTAAATGTACCTCTGTGTTATAAATGTTTTCAAATATGTTTTTATGTTATTGTGTGATGGACAGCTATGAGAGATATGTATATTTGTGTTTGGTCTTAAAATATTTATTTACCTTACTAGTGATTTCTATAGAAAAAGGCAAAGTTCAGATTATTCAAATTATATGATTATATGTATATACTAGAATGTAAATTCCAAGAAACAGGGAATTTTCTCTGTTTGTTCATTGAAGTACCCCCATGCCTAGAACAGTGTCTGGGACATGTTACATGTCCATTAAATATTTTAAAAATATATTAAAAATTGTTTTGTTGAACTCTTTAGAATTAATTCTTTGAACATTTTTAGTTTATTTCAGGATTGTATTGCGTTCTATACAATTTCTGTTTCTTTTTTTTGTTTTTTTTTTTTGCAACCTATTTACCACGTAGCGATCTTTCTATAAAATTTCTATTGTACATCTGATTAGAGACTATTTTAGATTTCAAAGTTTGGAATTTAAATGGCAACTCTCAATCAATTAGATTATTAATTTATTAGTGTTGGCAAAATACTGTTGGTTGAAGTAATTTTAGGGATGAGTGACAAGGAAATAATGTTTCAGGATCTTTTTGAGTTGCTTTTTCTTATTTTTGAATTTTAACACTTAACCTTTTTTTAGAAAAGTTAAATTTTTTTCTCTCTTATAGTTGAGTAAAAAGATTATTTGTATTTCTGTTTTTAAACTTCTTTTGCTTTATTGATTTTATTTATTTATTTATTTATTTATTTGAGACAGAGTTTTGCTCTGTCATCCAGGCTGGAGTGCAGTGGCATGTTCTTGAGTCACTGCAACCTATACCTCCTACATTCAAACAGTTTTCCTGCCTCAGCCTCCCTAGTAGCTGGGACTACTGGTGTACCCACCATGCGCAGCTAATTTTTGCATTTTTAACAGAGATGGAGTTTCATCATGTTGGCCAAGCTGGTCTCAAACTCCTGACCTCAAGTGATTTACCCACCTCAGCCTTCCAAAGTGCTGGGATTACAGGCATGAGCCACTGTGCCTAGCCTGTGTTGCTGTTTTGTGTTTGTAAGAATCTCTGTAATACAGAACTCTCAATACTTTTGAGATCTAATATTAAAATCTGAAAGATAATTTTGTGGATGAAGAATGAAATTTATTCACATGTGTCATGCAGATGTCAGTTTTAGTATGAGGACCAAGCCTTAAATTGAGATCATATGACATCACCTCAGAAGCAGAGATTTCCAAATTAGATCATATGATACTAGCAGTTGTATGTGTTTGGGATTAAAAGAGTTTAATATGAAATTGGAAATTTAGCAAGGAGATTGTATTGAGATGGCAGACAAAAAACAAGTTCTATCCTTTTCCCACTGCTCCGTCCTTTTCCAAAATCTCTAAAAATTACAGAAAACTTAGATACACACATACTTGTGCATACATGAACATGCCTGGAATTGAAATACGTGAAGGTGTGCTCTCATGGGCCAGACATTGTAAGAATACTTGAAAAACAGAAGGCAGATGGGATTGAATTGAAGGTGGACAGACAACAGTTGTATATTAAAGGCCTTATGCAGAAATGGAAGTGACTCTTGGAGTGTTCTAAGCACACAAAGACGCTATTGGTTATCAATAGTGGCCTTTAGGCAATTCTATGAGTTATTGATTGAAACCACTGTAGGAAGAGCCAGGTCAGCCTCTCAACCTTACCCCTACTTTTACTTGCAGTGGATAGCAGAAGAATTTGCCCCTAAAGGTGGTGGTGGGGTTAGCGGGAGGCAGTCCATGTACACTTTTACTGAAAAGGCAGGACAGTGCCCTGGATGGCTTCTGACATTTAGAAGGAAAAGAGAGGCCCCATACTTTGAGACTGGTCCTAGCCCACTGCTAGTTTCACATGTCTCCTCCAAAATTCATTTCGAAAATTAAACCCCCAATGTGACGTGATTGGGTCATGAGGTCTCTGCCTTCCTGAATGGACTAATCCATTCACGGGTTAATGGATTAATGGTTTAGTGGATTAATGCGTTGTCATGCAAGAGGAACTGGTGGCTTTACAAGAAGAGGAAGAGAGACCTGAGTTAGCAAGTTAACACGCTCAGCTTCCTCACCACATGATGTCTTGTGCTCCCTTGGGACACCAAAGAGAGTTTCCACCAGCAAGAAAGTTCTTATGGGCTTCCCGGCCTCTACACTGTAAGAAATGAATTCCTTTTCTTTATAACTTACCCTGTTTCAGACATTCTGTTATAAGCAAAAGAAAATGAATGAAGACAGAAAACTGGTACCAAGAAGTGGGATTTTGCTGATGACAAATACCTGAAAATAGAGAAGCAGCTTTGGAACTAGGTAAGGAGCAGGGGCTGGAAGAGTTTGAAGGAGCAGGCTATAAAATGACTGTATTTCAGTGAATGGAGCATTAAAGGTGATTCTGGTGAGACTCAGAAAACAAAAAGACAAGGGAACATTTGGAATTTCTTCGAGATTTGTTAAGTGGTTGTAACCCGAATACAGATAGAAATATGGACATTTCTGAGATTTGAGATGAAACTGAGAAAGGTGGTATTGGAAACTGGAGTAAAGGCCATCCTTGTTATAAATTGGCAGAGAACTTGGCTGAACTGTGTCCATGCCTGAGGGTATGGTGGAGGGCCAAACTTGAGATTAATGAACTAGGATATCTGGCAAAAGAAATTCCTAAGCCAAATGTGGAAGGAGCTACATGATTGCATTTGGCAGCTTATGCTGATATTCAGAAGCAAAGGAATAACTTAAAGGTAGAATTTATTATGAAAAGGTAAGCAGAGTGGAAAGATTTGGATAAATCTCAGCCTGACCACGTAAAGAGTATAAAAGCATGTTCAGCAGAGGAAACCAAGGGTGAAGCCCAGTGACTGTTTGCTAAAGAGATTAGCTTGGATAAAAGAGAGACAGGTGCTATTCCTTTAGACAAGGGAAGAAAAATACCAAAGGCATTTTAAAGATCTTAGAGGGTGCCCCTACCATCATAGGCCCAGAGGCATAGGAGGACAGAATTGTTTCAGAGGACAGGTAAGGGTACTTTGCACAGGCTTACTGCCCAGGGCCACCTCAAGAGAGTCCCCACCAGCAAGATGGCTCTCTTTAGATATGCCTCTTTGACCTTGGACTTCCCAGGCTCCGTAACGGTAAGAAATAAATTTCTTTTCTTTATAAATTACCCAGTTTTAGGTATTTGGTTATAAGCAACAGAAAATGGACTAAGGTACACACCTTGTGAAACTCCACATCTACCATTTTCTTCTTCAAAAATCCTGCAGGTAGATTGCAATAAGCAGATCCCACATGCGCACAGGCAAACAGGGAATCTCAGTTACCAAGGTGAACACACACTCAAAAGATCTACATTTGAAAACTAAAAAACCCAGCAAACAAAAAAAGGGTATAATACTCAAGAAACATTAAAACCTGAGGCTGGGTACTGTGGCTCACACCTGTTATCCTAGCATTTCGGAGGCGGAAGCAGGAGGACTGCTTGAGCTGGGAGGTTGAGGGTGCAGGGAGCCACGATCACACCCAT